GACTAGGAGATACTCTAATTGGGCGTAAAACATTATTACAGATATCTATAATACTGAGTAATAGTCTACTCAAGCTATTATTGACTTAACTTTCTGAACTCTGTCATCTGCAATCCCCAGCATTTTTTCTGATTGTTTAGCCTTTAGATTTATTCCTATTTTAGTTCCGAGTATTTATAATAGGTAACCTACAAATTAAATCACAAAAAAAACATAGAATTAATTTTAATAAGTGCTAAATTTTTTCTAGAATTTTTCTGCTTAAACATAAACTCATTTTTAGGGTATCGAAAATGCCTTCCTCTAATTTAAGGCACATTCATCTGTCAAGGCCTAGCCACAATGCCTACGACCGCAAATTAAATGAGGGCTGGGAGTGTTCGTCATTATGACGACATAATTCGTGGCATTAGCCAAACATGAAAATCCGTTTAAAATGTGCAACAGCTACAAGACGCTATAAAGAGAGTTTAGGCTCAAGCTTAAAGCCCCAAAAGAGAGACAAAGAGCTAAAGCATTTTCTTGAAGCCAAATAGAAAAACTTATTGATGCTATGTAAATTTGGCTTAAATCAATTTATATCTTAGTTATTTAACAAGCCATAACTCGATTTTGTCAAAGTACTTTAAATATTTAACACAATAACTGCTTAAAGCAAATTTGCCAGGCAAAGTTTTTCGTTATTTCGCATTTGAGGCTGCAAGAACAACAGCAGCAACAACAAACCAGTCTTAAATAGCAACAACGACGGCAACGACAACAACAACAATAACAAACAACAACCATAATAATAACTCTCACAACAGCCGCAGCAACAACAACAATGCGAACAAGAAAGCGTGATTAAGTTTAGTGAGTCGACAATTGTTTACCCTAGGAAATAAACATAAATATTTAAATATTATTTATAACAATATTGAAAACTGAAAAAAAAATTACTTAATTGTAATATAAATAAACTAATTTTTTAATTAAAACTAACAAATTATAATCATCGCACTCTCTGTCCCTCTCTCTCTCTCTCACTCTTGAATATAGGATATAAGCTGCAGCCAGTAAAACTTAACGTGTAACTTTTTTCACATGTCTGTATGTGTGTGCGTGTGTGTGAGAATGTGAGTGTCAAATTGTGCTTGACTATGCGTGTGTCTGTTTGTTCGTGTGTGTGTGTGTATAACACAAAAGCCGCATGCTGGCATGCATGCATCTGTGCATGTGTGCATGTGTGTGGGTGTGCGTCGGTAAATGCGTGTGTGATAATGCAATTGTAATTGTGGTTGTAAATGTGCATTTGCATTTGTTACAAACTCTGCTCGCATTGTTGTTGCTGTTTGGTGTTGTTGCTGCGGCAAATTTAAACAATTTGCACATTGTTAACATTTATTTATCACTGTCGTAACAATTTGTGGCCATTGTGTATGTGTGTGAGTGCGCCTGTGTGTGAGTCTCGATGCGTGCGCGTGAGAGTTTGTTATTTAAATTATTTTTCGCAGACAGTTGCAATAAATTTTGCATCCTTTTCTCTCTAATCAGCCGCATCGCTACACAAAAGTAACTTTAAATGTTAAAGTGCAAATGCAACGCCAAAGGTGAGAGGCAGCTTGATAGCAACACTGGCAAACAGTCAAGCACACGCTCTCTCACACTCACACACACACACACACACATGTGCGTCTGCCAGATAGACTCTCCCACATATATCACTGACAACAGCTTGTGTCGAAAAATCATTGCGTTGGGTAATGGCAATATGTATGCGAGTCTGTCTGCGAGTGTGTGTGTGTGTGTGTGTGTGTGTGCAAATGTATTTGACTATGTATGCGCTATGTATATAAGCGTATGCAAGTGGAAGACGCGTCTGTATGTATTTGTGCTATTTATTTATCAAACAATATGCAGCTGTTGCATTTCCCATACGCATTTTCCACGTATTTTGAATTTAATGCCAAACTTAATGTGCCCCACACACACACACACACACACACACAATCAACACCTCTCTGTGAGCTTCTTAAGTTCAAAAATAGCAAAACCAGCAACAGCAGCAGTCAGTAGTCAGCATATCAGCTTGCATTGTTCAGATATTTGCACTTTTGGCCATGGTAGAAAAAGGTATGCAACGAGTTTTTGTTTATCAAGCTAACTGTTTTGCCATTTTGTAGCCAAAGTTGTAGCTCGAGTTTTCGGAATGTAAAATCACAATTTATAGACATGCCACAGGGTTGAAATGGGGACAATGCAATGTCTTAGCCCCAGTCGACTCTCGAAACTATGCAAAGACTTTAGTTAACCCCAAAAATTGCACATAACTCTGATTGGAAATATGATAAATGAGTTAGAATTACAATTGCAATTGCATTAGAAAAACTAATCGGAAATTTAGGTTTTATGTTTGATTTAATGCTCGCTGTGCAGGTAGGCCAATCGAACAGGTTACACACAAAATTATGCGCAGTCAGCAGGGGAAACTAAAAAACATATTTATTTGAGCATACAAAATTAGATAACCATCATAGAAGGAAAATTATTACAAATTGCTAACCAGGCAAATGCAATGCAATGACTTTATGGAGCGCATTCGTAAGCGCAGCTGTGCCACCATCAAAGGAAGCCGAAGGAGCAGCAGAAGCAACAGCAGCTGTTGCTGCGACGAAGACTTAAAACGTCGCTTGGCATAAATCCCACCCAGCAGCCGCCCCCATCCGCTCGCCATACGCGCACCTCTGGCGCCTCACCCGCCTACACCTAAGCGCATTTGTATTAAATCGAACGTGTTTCTTTTGGTAGGGCATATGTGCTTGGTAGTTGCTGCCTGGCAAGGACTGCTACTGGAACTGTTTTATTTATTGACTGCACGTAGCGTATATCCTTATAATTTTTGTATGTTTTACATCTGTGTGTGTGTGTGTGCATGTGTGAGCTCTACATATGTCTCTATGCACAGTCGCGCTGACTCTGGTCGGACCGTCTGTCGTCGATGTCTCTGTTGCTTTTTTGCGCTCGACTGCACGTCCAAATATCTACAACAGTTTCTTCGTCAATGGCATTGAAGGTAGCAAGCTAGTTGCTACTCTCTCACTCCCCACTCTTCCTCTCTCTCTCACTCTCTGCTTCTTTCTCTGTATGCAATCAACTGAAATTGAAACCTGCAACAAATGGCCATGTTTGACTTTTTGCAGCGGCCGAACGAATCAGCCCAGGCACACACACTCACACACACCCACACACACATATATCGAGACATTTGGCCATCGCCTTGCAGTTTGTACATTTTAACGGCTCTTGAGCAAATAAACGATTTTTGCATTTTAGATTTTTAAGCGGCCGTACAGATGTAAAGACATATACCATACATACATATACACATACATATATACACTTTACCAATAAGTACAATATTTAGGAAAATTGCATATCGATTTGGCAATAGCTGAGTAAAAATAATTTTTGATGTGTCTATGCATGTATGTGTGTGTGTAAAAAGTGTTTACCATTTACCGCTTGTGCTGGCATATATATATGTGTGTGTGTGTGTTTCGTATCGTTAGCCATTTCACTGTTCATTTCCTGCTTGAGATTACTTCTGGGCAATTATATAGACTACACTCTCTTACACAATATGCACAAAATATGACGATTTTTTTTGCCTGCATGCAGCATATGCTCCATTAAATTTCAATGTATATTCCAATGAGAGTTTTACACAGAGAGGGAGAGAGAGAAATATAAATACTCCAATGTACATGGATGTGTGTGTGTCAGCTGTCTAATTGGTTATTTCCTCAATTTCTGTGACCCAACGCCCATCTAATATATGTGCACACACATACATATATAAATTGTCGTTGTATAGGTATACAATCCCGTCCTGCTGCTTAATTTAGAATCTAATTGATGCCAATGACAAATTAGAAAACTTGCCTCTCTTTAAGATTTTCGCCGCCATATTGAATACTTTATAAGCCCAGCCACGGGCCATATTAAACATGCACAAATATAACGAAAGGGGCCGGAACAATAACTTAGCCAGGTACTTTGGCATTGCATTTATAAAAAAAAAAAGAAAAGAAAATGCCTTAAGCCTGTCATAATAGGCGTGTGTACGTGTTTTTATTGTCAACTTCCTTGGGGGGCGAGTTTCGCTGGGCTCGCCACACAAAAGGATAATTTCATATTCGCGTCGCTAACTTACGTAAATTGTTGAATCATACAATAAATAAAATGCAATGAATGTGCAAAAGTGCAGAGCGCGCATTGCTTGCGGTTCTCTGTGGAGAGGGACAGCTATGTGTGTGTGTCTGTATATGTGTAGCGCGAGAGAGTGAGAGCGCAAGGGCACAGTGCCATTTGCCAAGCGCAGCAGTAAATAAATTAACGTCCGCCACAGAAAAGTCAACGTCTTTGTTATTACGTACGTATGTATGCTTGTGTGCACGTGCTTACGTATCTACTTACGTTGTTGCTGGCACGCATTTTTATAGCCTTGCGCTGTCTACTCGAAGGGAAGTCCATGCATATACATATGTAGTTGCTGCACATGTGAAAAACAAACACAGAGTGCGCACAGCCAACAATAACAATTAATTATTGAAATGCAAATGTAGTGAAGTTGAGTCCGAGTCTGAAAGCCGCAAAGTTTTCATAAACAGCTCAACGGCAATGTCGACTGCATTATCAAAAGGTGCCACAACATTCTTTTTTTAATGGCTGCCAGACTTGCCAGTAGCAAAAATAATGACTGCCCGCCGTTGGTCTGTTGCGTGCCATGGACAAATATTGGCGCTGCTCTAGGCGCCGCAATAAATTGAGTTAAGCTGAAATCGTTGAATGTGGCATGGCAATTGCACATTATGAACTTTTCGCATTGTTAATAGAGATGAACTGAGTGATCACCATATATATCGGCACTTAAACATATCGATAGTATGAACTGACACAGCTCTCGTGAACGACCAATGCTTAAAAACGTTTCCAATTGGAAGTCATAAGGCAAATTTGAATTTTGGAATATTCTTTTAATTTTAGTTATAGTAAATGAATTTATTATGACAAACTAGGATAGCAGAGCAAGTACAACCTCAATGGCCAATAAACTGCAGCAATGACAGTGGCTTTTGCTTCGTCTCAGCCATTCGCATATCTATTACGCTCTCTGAGAACTCAGCGCACGGCGAGCAACCACAATTCGATGGCACCTCATGCTGTCAATTAAAAATGAATCTTTTAGTACTATACAAAATAGAATAAATATTATGAAACTTACGCGCTGATTGAATGTGAAACCATCTTCGCAGACCATTTTGATTGAGATCGATTCGTAGGATTTAATGGTGCAACAGGTGCAGAACTTCTCATGCACATCCGTTAGTTTGTTATATTTGGAGCCCGAGCTGCAGGCGCCCTCGCAATCCGTGAAGCCCTTGATGGGCTCCGCATTCACACAGACACCATGACCAGGCTTGGTATACTTTAGCAACTCCTTCGTCAGCGGCTCGGCCAAAGAAACTGGCAAACAGTTGGCTGCAATGGAATATAATCGAAATTACCAAATAGCATTAAACGGATTATTCTGTTCCACTTACATAGATTCTCAATGATTGGCTCCGATTTACAGAGCTTACAGCAGCCCTCCACAAACTGCAAGTGCTCTGGACAGCGACTGACGTCTGGGCAGACCTCGATCGAAGAACTGACCATTAGCATTTTATCCTTCTTCAGGCATACATAGTGTGTACAATTGTCGGGTGAGCTCCATACAGCATGAACATCGTACAGTTTGTTCTCGAACACACAGGACGTCTGCACGCATTCGCCGCAGCATTTGCTCTTGTCCAGCTTCTGATAGCTATAGCCAGCTGGGCAATCCGTTGAGCATTGTTGCAACGTGCTGATAACCTGTGCAATGCCATCGGGTCCATAGACGCACTGCTCCTGCTTGCAGACATCCTTGGCATGCTGCCACTTGTCACCGATTTGCTTGGTGAAACTGCTCGATTCGTGCACCTCATATTGCACAATGCACAAATGCTTGGGCGGCACTGCGGGCACAGAATCGAAGTAATTAATTAATTCTTATTAGATCCAATTAGATTAGTTATGCGTACCGCATTTATGTGTGGCACAGCAGGCGCCTTCTGCCTTCTGTGTGCTGACCTCGTAGAAGCGTTTCTGGCAGTTGACTGGGGCAGGCGGGCACTGATCCGGCTTACAGACAATCTTCTGTGTGGGACAACAGCCTTCATCGATCTTGACGAGCTGCTCGCCAGGCAACAGCTGACGCGGTGGCTCCAGTGGATCACAATCTTCCTTGGGCTTGCATTCTATAGAAATTCCATTCAGTAATTTAATAATATAAAATTCAAGAGCCAAAGCTTACCGCAAATGTACTGTGGACAGCCGTTGACATCGTTTTTCTGCTTCTTAAATTGACCTGGTCCACACACAGGCATCAGTGGAGCCAGGCAGAGCTTTTGTGATTCCTTGGGCTCCGGCACGCAGCGATAGCGTGGGCAGCACTCCTCGGCGCTAACTATGGTCTGTGGCTTGTAGCCCTCGGCGCATATGTTCTCCTCCACTTGACACTTCTTCTCCACGCACGAGCTCTTGCCCCTGGCATCACACTGGCAATCGGTGCACTTGTCCTGCTTCCATTTATCGCCCGGCAGGTGCTCGCCGTCATCGCATTTGGTGCACGCCGCCTCGGGTATGCATTTGCCGTCATCCATAACTTGCCCAGCCGGACAGAAGCAACCCTCAAAGCGCTCCGAGCTGAGGCACATATCGTCGCTGCTCACCGTGTGGAACACCGTATCGGTCTTTATGTTAACCGCATCGTAGTCGGTCATGGCCTTGACCGTATCGCAGTTCTTGGCACAGCCGCAGGGTTCGTAGACCATGTCGCTGGGACACTCGAACGGACAAAGCTCTGGACGGCGCCAGTCGGTGCAGATGCCCTTGCTGTTGCACTCCTTCGCATAGGCGGCCAGGGATAAGCAGACGCCTTGCTGGGTGTTGCCCGGCTTGCAGATATCCTGCTGACAGGCCGACACATAGCCAATGGGGTCCACAACGAGCGGACACTTGCCGAACAGCTTCTCGTTGTAGAACTGCAGGCAGGGATCCTTCTCTGGCGGCAATGGTATGCAGTGCTCCTTGGGCACATCCTCACTCAAGCACTCCTGGTCATTGGTTAAGCCCAATTTGGGCTCATCGGCCTGCCAGGTCTGTATTGGATCCATGCCCGGCTTCTTCTTGGCCGGATTTGGCTTCAAGTCATTGCTGGGGTCTTCATTGCAATCCCCACAAAGTCCTTCCATCTTGCTGCCATACTTGATGCCGGGCACACCGAGCGTGAAGATCAGGTTCTCGAATGAGGCTGTCAGCTCCACATGCGATTCGGGCAGAGAGAGCACGAGTTCCTTGCCCACCACTTGGCGCAACGTTATCCAGCTGTCTTTGTATGGCATCTTCTTCACCTCGAAGCCATCCACCAGCACTTGCAGTGCCTTTGGATGACTCGGCACACGCTGCACATGAATCACATGGTCGCCGTTGAGCACATGGAGCGACTTGGGACAGCTGGCACCTTCCATGGCGCGGACTTGGCCAAGCTTCTTGCAATCATCCATGCTGACGTACACCTGGAACGTGTGCACACCTGGCAGCACCACATCCCGGGACAGCAGGTAGGTGCAGTTGCCATTGAAACTGAAGCTCTTGCGATCATAGGTCAGGTACTTGGAGTTGCCCAATGCCTTGCACACACAGTCCTTGCAGTCGGCGATGGGCACACACTTGGGGCCATTGCGAACGGTGCCCTCGGGACAATAACAGCCCGGGAAGCAGACATCCGGCAGCACAGGACAATCATCGCCATGCAAATTGTCGCAGGAAGGCTCACAGCGTCGCTTATAGCAATCGGTGTGCACCAAGGGAGCCGGACAGCTAATATCGCACTGATGCACCGCTCGCCAGGTGTTTAGCTGCACCAGTGGATTGACACTGAGGCACTTCTTCACGAAACTCTCGAGTATGTTGCACTTGCATGCCGAGGCATCTCCATTATTTGCCAGCAAGCAATCGCAGGCAGCCTCCAGGCAGTAGTTGTTGGAGAACTGCTTATAGTTGACAGCCTTGTGGCACTTGGCGAAGGTGGGATGGCTGCAGATCAAGATGAAAAGGATTAGCTAAAGGTAAACTAGGGAACTCTAAGGGAAGACATACTTGATGATGTTACATAGCTGCAACGCCTTGGCCTGCAGCTGCCTGGTGCACTTCTGATCGCCACATTGATCCAGAGGAATGCGTTTGTCGTACCAACTCTTACCGAACTTCTCCGTGTTGGCCAAGACTTGACCATCGGGCGTGCGCTTGTCGTCCCGTGGAATGCCATTGTAGTAGCCACACAGGCCGTCCACAGTGCGTAGAAATTTGGAGGAGATGCCCACCTTGAGTATGCCAATGTCATCCAATTGCACCCAGAAGCCATATTTGGTGGACACGGCGAGCAACGTTTTGCCCGGCTGCGAGACCACGAACGATGCCTTGCAAATGGGCGAATTGATGAGCTGATCCACGGTGAACTCGAAGCCATTGAATTTCACCTTGAGATGTGGCAACAGCACTAGCTCGTTGCCGGCCTGCAGATCCTGAATGCTGACCACTTTATGGCACACTTTGCGCGTCTCATCGCTGCACTGCTGATGAACTGCAAAGGACAAAAACTATAAATAATTGTCTAATCTAGTTATTATGATCAGATCTCCACCCGATATGGTCCAGCTGCCGTTGTGTATGTCTCTGGCTAGTATATGACTGCACGGGCTATATTTGAACATGGTGCCATCGAAGGTGGTGAAGCTCTTGCCGCTAATCTCGCACACATCATCCTTATTGGGTCGCAGCACGCACGTATAACGGAGGCAGTCGCCCGCCTTGGCGGTGCTCAGGTCTAGCTCGACATCGTATTTCTCCGGGCATTTGGGCTCCACGCAGGTGATTGTCTCGTTTTTGTTCACCTCCTTGGTGGGTATCGGCACACAGGTGAATTCACTGCACTCCTCCTCTTCCTGGTAGTTCAGCTCGCTGCCGGGCATGGCCAAAATTTTCTCGTTTGAGGAAATAAACTTGGTTTTCGTTATGCTGACGCCGTCATCCACAATGGACACTTGTTTGTGGAATGTGAAGATCTTGGACATCTTGCGTGCCTTCTTCTCAATAATTTTGATCTTCATTTGGGGTGGACAAACAGGCGCAGGGCAGGTGATAACCGTTGCTGAAATACAATAAATTCACGAATTACATATGTGTAATCCCCAAACATCGGACGTCCACTCACTTTCATTCTTCTCACGCTTGATATCGGGCTCTACAGTGAATGAGTCCCGACAGCTGGCATCTTCATCGTCCGCGCAATCCTGCACGCCATTACACCACAGAATCTCCGGTATGCAATCGCCGCTGGAGGGGCACAGACGCTGGTGCTTGGGACATGGCTCGCACTTGCAGAAGCAGTCGCTGGTTATGACCGGACGCAGATGACGCTCTTCGCATGGTGCACACTTCTTGGGTTTGCAATTGTGGCGTCCACCCAAAACGCAGACACACTCCTCACAGGCGGCATTCTCGAACTTGCTGCCGATCGGATAGCTGACATAGTTCTCCACACAAGGGCAGAGATTGCGCTGCACACACTTGTTGCCGTCCCAGTAGAGCTGGTCACTGCATTGGCACTTCTTGGCATCGGGGCTGGAGCTGGTGATTCCTTCGCACACATTGCACTTGGTGGGCTCCACTTTTTCCTCGTATTTCTCCTCCTTCACCACAGCTTTAGGTAAAAAAAAAATATTAAATCAATTGAATTTTCTTGCTGAAGCTTTTCAGCGACTCACGATAAGGCTTAAAGCAACCCAGGGGCTCGATGCGCATGTTTATGTTGCGCTCCCACTTGGCGGGCACAATCTTCAGATACTGCGCCAGGATTGGCTTCTTAAAGTGATGGGTACGCGGCGTCTGCTCGTCCACATTTGCCTCGAATATACGTGGCTGTCCGTTGGGTGCCAGCACCGTGTTCCAAGTGGGCTTCTTCTTTGAGAACATAACCTTATAGCCAGTCACCCAGCCATCGGAGCCGCCCTTGGTAATAAAACCGGATACATTGCGCGGCTCCAGGAAATCAAATTCGATAAACTCATTGGGCGTATTGGCAAGCGGACGCCATGCCTGGGGTGTGGACAGCTTGAGCAGGTCATGTAAACGTGGTTTCCTAGCCGCTTGGTGCAGCTGCCACAAGCTGCTCGCCTGTATCTGTTGCTCATGCATCTCGCCCTTATCCACGCCCATTTCATCGACACACTCCAGCTCGTAATGCATGGACGGACGCTCTGTGCTTGTGGGCAATGTGGGCGGTGGCAGAGTGACAACTGGCAGCTCACCACAAATCAACAGCTCGACACGCATTGCAATCGATCCATGCCACTTGAGTGGGTAAATTCTCAGTGAGCTCGCCTCAATGGGTATCTTAAAGAGCGTCTGCACGGGCTCTCGGGAATCCAATGGTCCATTAAACAACTGCGGCATGTCCGTCTCATCGACCAGATAGTTATAGGCGATGCCATCGTGACTGTGCAGGATCTAAAACATATATAATTATATATTGACCCTTCCAATTGTTCACAAATTAATTCCACCTTGAAGAGCGTCACATAGTTGTTGAATTCGGGACTGCCAGCCATGATGACTCCATAAATGGGCTCCGGATGCTTTAAGTTCAGCTCCAAGTACTGCATCTGATCGTTGATCTGTGGTGACCAGCTGCCGCTGTCCGTCGTCGGCTTCTTGCTCAGACGCGCTTTGTGCGGCGCATGCTCTGGTGCCAGCTGGGAGCTAGCATTGAAGATGCTATCGGGCAATGAATGCTGGCCATTTTCAATCATGGGGATGAGACTGCAAAATTGAAGATGAAGAAGATAAAGCCACACTCAGATCTCATCACACATCTTACCGCTCGGGTGCGCAATGCAATGGTGGCGTCAGAGTAATCGGAACTATGGGCACTATGGGTTCAAACGGCTCTGCAGAAAAGAAACACTGATTAGGATCGCAGTTCAAGCAATGCTGTTCGCCCACTTACTTATTGTTGACTCTGGCACTGGCTCCGGTTTATTGGGCACACATGTGAAGGCATTGTCGATGCACTGGCAAATCTCCAGCTCACCCACGACGGGCTTGTGGGGCTGCACATACTGCTCGTCGTTGTCCATGCACGGGCACTCATCCGCATGCACGCAGGTGTCTTCATCACGCCAGTACTTGCCCAGTTTGGGACAGTCCGGACGCAGTTTATCCACACAGCCGGGTTTGCAGTGCTCGCCGTGCTGGCACAGGCCGCGTTTACGCAGAATGCTGCCGTAGTAGTGGCAAGTGTTCTCGCACTGGTTGGCGCACTCTGACCAGATCTTGTCCTCGTCACACTGCATAATGAGCTCCTGCTCAGGCTCTGGCTTGCGATTGTCGCAGCTGGGCTTCAGCTCTTGGACAATGCTAATGTGATCGCAATTGAACATGGTGGGATTGAACATCATGAACTCGCCGCACGTCTTCTCCACGTACACCCAGCCACCATCGACGCCTTTGGGCTGGCAGTGCAGGAACTTATGGCAATCGCCGGGATACTCTTTGTACTCGACCACGCCCACGTCGCAGCTGGCGCCGATTTGGGGCTTTTCGATTGGCTTAGGTGTCGTGAGCTCCGTCTCGCCATCGCACTGGCAGAACGCGCGCAGCTCGTAGTCATGGCACTTGCCAATGCAACGCAAGCCCTCAGCCAGGCTGCAGACAACATTCTCATCCATTAGCTCGGGCGGCTCGTGAGTGCCCTTCACACGGCAATCCACCTTGGTCATGTACTTCTTGAGACAGGTGCCATAGATGCTCTCCAGACGATCGTAGCGCGGCAGCTTCTCCTCATCGTTGAGCCGCACAATCTTCTCTGTGGTATCGGCGTCGTTGTCAAACCAACGCGTCCAGCCTCGCACGCATTTCGTTTGGTTCTGCGTGGCTAGCGGTGGTTCGGTGGTGCCCTTAATATATGGCGCAGACGTTGCCGGCGTATGGGGCTCATCGCACTTAACGCCGCTACAGATTTCCTTGCGCTTCGAGCATCGGCAAGTGGCACAGGCATCCTGGAACGTTACGTCTCCCTCATAGTAGGTCTTGCCCTCCTTCATCATGCACACAGGCTTGCACTCCGCCTTGGGCACGCACTGCCTATAGGTGTCATTCAAGTAGATGAAGCCATCCTCACAGGGCTTAATTTGGCAGCCCTCAACGCAGTTTTCGCGCGTGCACATGCGCTCCGCAATGCCCTGATCCAAGAAATTGTCGCAGGTCTCTACGGCGCAGGCGGGCGTACAGGACTTGTACTCCGAGCAGTGTGGATCGCATTGCATGGCTGAAAAGAAGAAAATATTAATATACTATTTTTTTTTTATATTTGGAATTCATCGACTTACGGCAGAAATGTTGGGATCGCCAGCGTATGTTGATGCCCTTCTGGGCACAGGCATCCGCATAGGCCGCCACAGCCGTGCACAGGCACTCGCAATCGCCACCCTGATCACAGGCGCACGTATCGAAGATGCAACGCTTCAGATAGCGCTCCAGTGGCACCTCCGCATGGCAGGGCTCGAAAAGTTCAGATTTCAGGGCGCCGCACTTAAGTTGCGCCCACGTTTCGCGTTCTGGATGCTGGCGGCAGGCATCGATTGGTGCCACGGGTGCTGCGCAATGTGGCTGCAGCTTCCAGGAGTGACCAAAGAGCATGGCACTTGTTTCCAAGCCCAATGATGGCGTTTGCATATCATCCTGGCTGTTTCCATTGTAATTGCCACACAAGCCGCTGACCTTGTTGCGCCATTCGTTGCCCAATTTGACATAAACACGCGTGCCCTCGTCCCATTTCACTTGTAGCTTGAGAGGAATAACCTCGACAACAACAAATACGCCTGATTTGTAAATGTGGAACGCGTTGTGGCCATTGGAATGGACGCTGTCTCGAAGTTCTAATTGGAAAATGGAAATGGGAGAAGTATATTCATGTATCGATATTAAAATATACTTCATACTTGGAATCAGTTATATCGATAACGATAGCACAGTTACTCACTTTTAATGGCCGACTTATTGGGATCTACGCTGTAAGCCGAATCCTTACTCAGCAGCAATGATTCCTTCGCCCGCCCAGTCAATGCAATTTCCAGCGATTTAGAGCATGTGACTCCCATTGTACCACACAGCACATTCTGTATGGTAATACTGAAGCCATCGCCATTCTCGAAAGCGCCCTTGGAGAGCACATAATCGCAAGCGCCCTGGAAGTCAAAATCTTGACCATCGTAGGTGGTGAAATGTGAGTCGCCCCACACGCTGCAAGTGGATTCACAGCCATTGTCGGAGCACTTCCAATTGCCCGCCTGGCACACGCACGTATTGCAATCCTCCTTGATCTTGTCGCCATCGTCATAGCTCTTGCCAGCATGATGGCAAGAACAGTTTGTGGGCAGCACACAAGCTTGCCGAGATGTGTCGTAGACATAGCTCTCCATGCAGACGCAGCCAGGCAAGCAGTCTACAGAGTCCGCCACATACTTATCCATATTCTTGCAGGTTTTCGGCTCTTTGGGTGCACACTTGGTGAACTCCGCAAATGGTTGCTTGACACACTTGCTGCGCAGCTCCGACGAGGGTGGATACTTGACATCATCGCCCGGATCAGCATCCTGGCAATCCCAAACGCCATCCACACAGGTGCAGAGATCAAGGAATTTGCCACCTGGACGCACTTCTTTGTAGCCAGGCCGGAAGATCATGCCATCAAAGCTGCAATGACACTTGTGCTTGGGCACACAGATACCCTGGTCATTGACGTACTCCCCATGGGGACAGCGACAGCCCTCGACACACTCACGGGTGCAGCTGTTCTTGCCAGGCAGGTCGTCACAAGTCAAGGCGCAACCATCGCCACACTCATCAAACACCTGACCCATGGGACACTTGACAGCTAATAAAATCGAAGTAGATATAGATCCAATGTTATATACCATGCTGAGCTACCTATACTCACCGCATTCCTTTACAGTCATGCGCCAACCAGTTTTGACTCCTTGTCGCATGCATTCGGTACCGTAAGCAGAGAGAATGGGACAGAAACACTTCTCGGGCTCGTCCTTGCAGGCGCAAGTATCGTAAAGACAGTCCTCGTAGAACTTTTCAGGCTCCACCATGAAGTGACACTCCTGGAATATGTCCTGCAATATCCAGTCGCAGTGCTTCTCTGCAATCGCCTTCTTCTCTGGGCTCAGGGTGCAAGGGTGCGGTCCCTGGTGGGTCTCCGCCTGGAACTGGCAGGTGTCCTTGGTGCGCCACTTGTCCGCAAATGCCTCAATACCCGTTTCAACATCGCCCTCGGGTGTCAGGAAGTCATCCTGTGTATTGGAATTGAATGTGCCGCACAGACCTTGCGTCTGGCCACGCCAGCTCGGCGGTGCATCAATATAGACACGCGACACACCATCCCACCAGACGCGTATGCCCCCGGCAAAGTCCACGGTCAAGAACGTAGAGCTGGCGCGTCTTATCAGGACCTCACCGGCGCCCAACATCTTTGGCAGCTTGGCAATGGGCTTGTCATTGACGACCGTCGTCAAGCCCTGATCCAGTTTGATTGTGGTTGGGGTGCCGTCGCGTAGTACGAATCGCACGGTTACCGACTTGGTGCAGGAGGGATCATCGGGTGCCGCATAGCTGAGTGCCTCGGATACGGCACCGGAGCAGGCAATGTTCTCCGCCTCCACAGACATGTTCGGTGTCTTCAGCAAATAGTACGAGCACTTGCCCATGAAATCGTATCGCTTGCCATCGAAAGTCTGATAATGAGGATCACCAATAGCACCGCAGCGTGCACCACATTTATCGTCTGTGCAATTCCACTGCCCGTTCTTGCAGGTGCAAGTATTACAGTTCTTCTTGACCGTTGCCTCGGGCTTGAACTCGCGGCCACGCAACGAGCAGGGACACAGCTCCCGAGTGATGCACGCATCCTTGTACTGGACCGTGCCTTCGGGACAGAAGCAGCCCTCGTTGCACTTGTCTTTTGTGGGTGCAGCGACTGTCAGACCTGATTCACAGGTTGGCTCCACATCCGGCCCACAGGCGCGATAGACGCGTCCAAAGCCGCAGCTGATGGCTATTGAAATATTGCATAATGATAAGTAAATGTGATATAATGATGTATATAGACTCTTCACTCACGGCATATTTCCAGATTACGCCAGCCGTGCTCTAATTGAATACCCTTGAACATGCATTCCTTGGCCAGCATGGCAATGGCATCGCAATTGCAGCTTTCGGGCCTCTCGCGATTCGCACAGTTGCAATAGTCGGCGATGCAGGTGCGGATGAGTGCATCGTAGTTGAAAGGTTTGATGCAGTCGCTCAGCTTCTCGTTGGCCAGCAGACGCTCACAAATAGTGACTGCCTTCTGGAGCTTGCTCTGCTCACAGGATTCAATGCCAAATTCCAATTCGGCGCTGTTCTCCACTCGGCACATTTCACTGTGGTCATCCACACGCCAGGTATCGGTGAATGCCTTCACTGTCTCCAGCTTCTTGCCAGTTCGAGACATTAAATCGTTGCGATAGTCACCGTCCAGAGAGCCACATAGACCACCCACTTTGCCCCACATGGCAGGACCTGCATGCACAGCCACGTACTGTTGATGATCCCAGTCGAGCTTGAGCCCGATTGATTCCAGATCAATTTGAACATGCTGCGCCACTGGCATCACCTTCATGCCCATGACCTGAACGGGTATGGGCAACTGTTTGTTGGGCGTGGACAAGCGTATGGTGCCATCTATAAAGCAAGTGAAAATAATTTCAATTCAGAGTTCTTGCAAAATGCTACTCACTTAAGTTCTCCAGGATATAAAGCACCGATTGCCATTGAATCTTCAGTGTGTGCGCACAGCCATAGCCAGAGCCATAGGGACATGCTTTTAGTGTTACATCAAAAGTGCCAGACACTTTGTCCAAGATCAACGTATGGGAACAGGACAAAGGTGCTCTAAACGTAAAATGAAATTGGAGCGCCAATAAGAATAAACAGCCGATTAATATTGCTATCTCAGCTATCGCAAAATGCTCCTTGGCTTAGGTTATCGATATTGCAAGTACTTATCGTTGCTAATCGGCTAATCACTTTTAAATTCACTTGAACTAATCGATAAGTACGTACTTGAAAACTAAGCCATCGAAAGTTTTTATATTGATGCCACCCCAGGTGGTGCACATTGCTGGCCTTGGTGACTGATCGATGACCACATCCACCTCGCCGCTCATGTACAGGGAGTAGCTGCTGAGAGTTGACACTGTTTCCTCCGATGACCACCATTCCTGCACAGTAGGCGAAACATAAAGTGCTGCACGATCATTTCTACGATCGACTTACACTACGACGTTCCAGATCCTTATACTTGGCGAGCAACGCCAACAGAATCTCCCGTTGACTTCTCAGCTCCGAGGTAATCTCCCCGCTAAAGGCGCCATGATATGTGCGACCCGGCTGCTGCATATGCGTCACTTGCACGCTGCCCGATCTAATGGTATATCCAGGAGCTGTGCAATTGTACATAATATTAAATATATTAAACTCTTTTTAATTATAGTAGAAGGGAGACTTACGGAAAATGCACTTTGGCAATGGCGCAGGCAAATAAACGCCATCCTTATAACTGCACTTATACTCCATGTCGAGGCGCCCTTGCACCTGGAGACCCTTCACCTGTGGACAACTAAAGGTGCAGCGTGCCTCCTCCGTGTCGTAAGCGCACTTATAGTTGCCATTGAAATGCGTATTGGTTACATTGCAACTAGAAATGCCTGATATACAAATTATAAGTATTCAAATTCAGTTAAGGATATCCAGATGTATGCTCACTGTATTGGCAATATGAGCCGCGATGTATCTTGGAGCACTGACAGATGTTGAAGCTGATGCACTGTCCGCCGTTCTCGCAGGCCGGCGAGCAGGTTGCTGAAGATATAGAAGGTCAGCTTACATTATATAACCGGAATATGCTGTTCACTTACGGCCACAGTCTGGCATCTTGGCAAGTCCAGTTTTGGAATGCACCCACTGGCCATTGCGGCATTCAATGTTGGCGATGCCGCTGCCGTCCGGGAACTGAAAGCCTCGCATGCATTGAGCATTACAAAAACTAACAGGAAATGCTAAATTAAATATATATAACGGTTGATATAGCCCACTCAACTCACTTATTTTTGCAGGACACCTTGGAATTCTTGGGCACTGGCGGCTTGGCGGCACACACGGACTTCTTGTGCTGGCATAACGGGCCTGAATAGTTCTCCGGACACTGGCATATGCCTGCTTGTAGACAGATGCCATTGTTCTCGCATGGCGGCAAGCACACAGCCTGACAAGGCGGCACTCGAGTAAACTCCGAGTTGACTATTATCCAGCCATCGTTGCTGCAAAAAAGATCCAGGGATTTGGTGTCCTGGGAAAACGTATAACCATCCGGGCAATACACTTGACACCTACCACTGCCATCGCATTGGGACAGCACATTTTGTGGCAGTGGAAGCTCTGCGCATTTGCCATACGTTCTCAACGATTGAGCGGCATTTCCATAAAAGTTGCCCTTCACACTGGGGAATTACGTTATATATGATATACAAACTATATAAATAATCAGACAAATTTTACCCTTTGCCCATGCCGAATAAGCTAAGCGCATTGTTGAGGATGTTTGAGCTGCATTTCGAGTTTTTAAATTTTATATATATTCTAATAGAATGGATTTAACTCTACACTCACCTCCCGGTCTTAATGCTGCCCTTGATAGGAAACAGCTTGCCACCATAGTCAACGCTTGCAGGCGGAGCATCATTGTAGTCGTAGGTATAGCGCGCACTAAAGGATAATATTTGATAGCAATATACATATACATATTCCTACAATAATTTCATATATCTCGCACCTCACAGCAGGCGCCTTACGATATCCAAAATTGAAATGACGTTCCTGGCGTTCCTTATTATCAACATCCGGTGCCGACTGAGCCAGGGGACTATCAAGTAGCGAATACAGTGCCCGAAGGCGTTCAATTAGATAACATATAAATTCAAATGCGAAATAATTTTTAATTACAAAACACGATTTTATCTTAGAACAAAATTTGCGTAGCGAAAGCGGAAGTCGCTTGAAGTTTGAGAAATATATTTTAATGATTGTTAAATATTATATATATAGTATATAGAATAGAATATATACATATATGGTATATAGTATATATATACATATATTGAAAGAACATTTCACTTTTATATTATTTTTATTTTAGATTTAGCATTTCCTGTTTTATATTTATGCATATTAGAACATACACATGTTTTATGTAATTTAATACATTCTATTGTACTTTACACACAATTCATATTCCTTCACTCACTCTATATCTTGATCATCAGCATCAGACATAATTACATCGCCTTCTTCGGCGCACACTTGGTTGAGAATTAGCAACCATGCCAAGAAGTAAATGTACTTGGATGTCATTTTATGGCAGGCACAAATATATTTTTATTTATATTGCATATATCACTGGTAATCCGTTTTATCCTTGATATTGAAGTATTCAATGTTGGCAGTCCGCTATCCTGCGAATCCTTGTCGATTCACTGCACAATTAAACACTTCACAATTTTCTTTTCACTTTAGCACATATTCACAATTATAACCCGTTAGTCGAAGCGACCGCGCGAACGCAACTAATTAAGCAGTGGATCCCCAGCGCCTTTTATAGGCCCCAAACTAAAGCCAGACTCCATTTTGTTTTTAGTTCTAATCAGAGTTTTTGTGCTTCCTAAAGTCGACGTCAATATGCTGATTTCTGTGTAGTTCGCATTTCAAACTCACTTTTTTTTCGCCTTATCGCGCTAAATGTGCCAAGTTGAAGCTGGGAGTGCAATTCAGCAACTTGGAAGCGATAAAATAAATTCTCGCACTCAAAGATATTATGAAACTGACCTAATGAATATGCCAAGGTTAAGTTTATAAATAAATTACATAAGCGAAACGCAAATCAGAAGTTACGTCGCCATTCAGCTTTATCTGTATGGAAACCATGAATGAATTAAATAATATGTGCGTATTTCGCATAAAGTTATATTTTCAAGTTAAATACATAATCAAACTGCCGAAAATTAACCGCGCAATTTTCTGGTAACGGCTAATAGTGTCAATTGGCTATCAATGACAGCACTGCGTATCGATTGCAACCGATAATTTTCAGCATAGTGCTGCCCATAAAAACAGTGACTAGGCGCCTCGATTTAAATATATTAATATTTGAATATACATATATAGAGTTCATTTCTTTTATTTGCTTAATAACTAATAAATCTAATTTGTAGAGCAATTTGAAAGTACAGTTTATCACAGGAAACAGCAATCACCAAAATGCTATTCGCTACTCGTTCACAATTGGTTCAGTTTTCGAAGCAAAGATTTGGCGACGGGATGTTGATAAAACAAAACTTCCAAAATAAAAGTATATATAGCTATATTATATATAAATATATTATAAACATCTGTTTGCTACTGCTGATTCGTATAGGGTTCAATATCTCGCTGCTGACGCATTGCCTCAGTTTCAGCGCCCACAGCGCAAGCTAGCAGAGAGTTAACTGTTTGCTCTTCGCCCGCTTTATACACATAGCCGTTCGCTTTGTCAATGTGATTGCGCAGCCGGAGCATGCTGTCTGTACTGAATGCATCCAGCAGTTTAAAGGAAACCAGCGCATAATCCTCCACCATGGAGCAAATGGCCTCATTGAGCTTCTGATATTTGCGCATTGTGGGATCATCATCCAGTTTCTCTAGTAAATATTTCAGATCAAGCACATCCGTGTAGTAGTCAACGTTGAAGTGAAGCTTCGATTCATGTTTACGAAGCAGATCCGCCTTTGATAACACATTCACATGAGGCAAACTCATTCGCATCATCGTATTCAGCGCCATCAGCAACGTAGCTATGAATTTAGCTGGCTCGGAACAGTAATGCGAATCGATGAGATTGACTGTCACCAAATTGTAGCGCTCCCGTTCCAATCGCTCAAAGACTCGCGCCATGGCAGTGTGGTGAGTGTAGAGCTCCACTTGGCCAGGACAGTCGAAGAGAAAGTAATTGTGCGTTGCACTCAGTTTTCTCAGTGCCGGCAGCAGCCAATCTTCGAAATGCTGTTCCAGGTACTCGGCACAATGCATGAGTGCGCCGTTGGGTCCCAGTTGCATGTGCTCCATGCAATCCTCGACCGTAATCAGCTCCATTACGTTGACTACCGGCTGATAGGACATGTTGTCGTTGCCTGGATCCAGATTGACGACACCCACTTGCCGACCCAACTCTTTATAGAATTTATACGCTTCATTGCAGTACGTTGTCTTTCCAGAACCAGGTGGACCTATTATTAATTGGCCATAACGTGGATTTTCTACTCTCGGCTGAACGCGTTGCAGCATTTCGTATGTTTATTTATTATTGTTGTGATCAGTGTGACCAGGTAGAAATATCAAAAATAACCCAATATGTCTTACATGATGGTCACTTTAAAAATTCGATGTGTGACTGCAAAATACTCATTATGGCACTGTTATTCCGGTACATCCACCATAAAATCAAGTCACCCGATATTTACAGCTGATAATAAAAAATATCGACTATTTCGATTAATTAACATGGCGGTCTTTAATTAAAAGTACTTAATAACAAATAAACACACTTTTTATTAAAAATACATATAACTGACTAAAGTTTAAGATAGATAAATACATTTATTAATACTGATGCATAATTTGAGTAAATTTTAAATCTATATGAATTATTATATAGGTTAAAATTTGAATAAATAAATTCTCCAATGGGTATTACATACATATGAATTATTAAAAAATGTAGCGTGCATTATTTGATTATATTGAGAGTGCAATAAAAACGAGAGTCTTTGTAAATCACTTGAGTGCATCATTGGCTGCTGCTGCCGCTTGTGCTGTTTACTTGGCTTCGCCTTCAATTGACTCCTTTTGCCCATTGTTCTTCTGGACAAAGAGATCGGATGGCCCGACATGTTTAATCGGTATGATGCGTTCGGCTCCTTCAACTTTGGGATTTAAGGGGGGCACTGTTATAGTCAAAACACCTTCGTCAGTTAAAGTTGACGCGATGGCGTCTGCATTGTACTCCTTGGGTAGGGGGTAGCGACGTACAAAATGGCGATAGACGTGTCCGTGTTCGTCTTCGCGTTCCTCGTGCTTCCCCTCAACGATGACGCAATTATCCACCAGCTTAACGCTCAGCTCACCTGGCTCAAATAGCCCCACATCGAGGTGCACCTGATAATTGCCTTCTTTGTCCTGGCCAGTGGATCGGGTGTGGCCTATTTCGCCACTGTGCTTCTGGGCCACCAGATGACGAGCATGTGCACCCAACTGGGCAATCATACCCAATGTATGCAAATCCAAGGGATCGTGATGCCGTGAGTGCAGCCGACGATACATGCGATTGGGGAACATGTCGTGGCCATAGAAAATGGATTCAGGGCCATCCAAATTCAGCACAAATGGAATGTCTGGCATTTTTCTTATTTTTTCGCTTGAAATTAATTCACAAATTGAGAATCTGTATCTGGTGGAGGTTCACTGAACCCAGGCTACGACAGTGTGTTGCTTTCCGTGTGTAGGTGAGGGTTGATTTTTTAGCGGAGGTCTTGCTGGACTAATGTTCCAATCACAACTCAACTTGAATGTCGCGACGAAAATGTGAAGTTACTGAGAGCAGAGTTGACTTTTATACTCAAGCCAGGAAAAGCTCTGCTGTTGGGAATTTTCTGGATTGAATGCAGTTGCTCGAGCTTTTTGGAGCGAAAACATCGACTATTGCGACGAAATTGCGAAGTTCTGGGGCGCAGAACCGGCACATACAAAAGCTCGGCTACTGGAAGCAACAATTGGGAATTTATTTAACTTACTGCAGCATTTTAAAGTTTGAGCTTTGAGAGCGAACAAGTGAGTCAAGTTCTTCATGTACTGCAGCGGCAATTGGGAAGTGTCTGGATTCAATGCAATTTTTTCAACGTCGAGGTCGAGCTTTGAGAGCGCGCCAAAAAATAGAAACACAAACCGCAGACACCCTTTGCTAGAATTTAAACTCGATACATTTTACAAATAGTAAACAGCCAGCGGCTGCTGCTGGCGTCTGTCTGGAAAACAAAACAGTTAACGCAATTCGCATTGAAGCAGCGTCTGAGGTGAAATTCGATGATTGGCCGGTGGCGGTTGTCGCCAACGCTCAACCACAAAGCGACAACAACAATGAAAACCGGCTACAGGTTGGATTTCGATTAACAATCCGAATCTGAGTCCAGCTGCGGTTGCTTTATTGTAAATGAAGCATGCGGCTGATAAACATTAACATTGGCGCTGCCAACGCCGCCGCCGCTGTCGACGCCTTCGTCATCGTCTTGACAGTAGCTTCGCTCTTGCCCATTATAAGTGCCAACGATTCGTCAAACAGAGAATTTAGTGATCCGTCGGCAATCAAACCAGTTGAAAGCACTATTTCGAGTGCTGCTAATTTGCATATTAAACGAAGAAAAATAATGGACGCTACATACGAGCAAGTCAAAGATGTGCCCAACCATCCAGAGATCTACCTGATCGATGTTCGCAATCCAGAGGAGCTGACGGCAACGGGCAGCATCCCCTCCAGCCTCAATGTGCCCTGTAAGTATAATATTAAGCTAAATACACTTTATTTACTTGCTTGATATATTTATATTTCAATTGATTTTCAGTGCCCGAACTGGAGGCCGCATTAAATTCCGACTCAGAGGAGTTCGAAAAGAAATATGGACGCGCAAAGCCGGCAAATGATGCAAATATCATATTCACCTGTCGCTCGGGCAGACGTGCTCAGGAGGCCGCAGAGATCGCCAAGACTGTGGGCTTTACCAAGTAGGTTTCTCGTTTCCTCAGGTCTAGAATGTCGTCTATACAATATTAATATTTTACTTGCAGCTTGAGCGTCTATCGTGGCTCCTGGCTGGAGTGGGCCGAGAAGGAAGGTCTTCCACAGTAAGATCTAAAAAGCAAAACATTCCACTCTACACTTACTCTTTGGCTTCTAATATAATTTAATTCAAATTTACTAATATATTATATACATTTATTTAAACAATATACATATACGGTTGCGGAATAAATTTGAATTTAAATGCAATTATTGCTTATGCATATGTATGTATATATTTCTCTAAATAAACAAGTTTAACACGCACGATGAAATTGGTTCATACAAAAATATATAAATGCTGTAGATAATTGGGAGAGGGGGTAGAAGCTACGCCTATAATATAATTATTATTTTCACAAGATAAAATCTAATCTTTTTCACGCGCAGGTTATATCATAATTATATTAAAAAGCTGACCCCTTTACTACGCCCATGCCCATACCTCACACACACACACATGAACGCAAGCTCATTTTGCTGAGAAGACACAGCAATGTATACTCTCAATAAACCACTCTCACTACCCACCCTCTCTCTCTCTCTCTCTCTCGTTCTCTTCTATCTCTTATTTTTTGAACTGACCTACCACACTGGTGTTTGTAAATAAAAACTGCTTCGCTTTGTTAAATTTCTTGAAACTTCCATTGTTGAGCAACCATTAAGAGAAATGAAAAGTATTTTTACTTTAAATGCAATAATAGCATGCCCTCAACAAACACTATCTATGTAAATGCCAGCCGTATAAGAATATTCAAAATTGCATCAGCTGCCTTGTCGGGAGAGTGCGAGAACATTCTCGAATGCGTTGACATTTCCTATAAAAGGCAGCCGGCATTTTCTGCTCTCAACATTTGAACAAAGTACGTCAAAGTGAAAAGAACTGCCGATAAGCAGTAGCAAGCTAAAGAGAGAGCATTTCGCAAGTGATTTAAGTTATTACAAAGTAAATTCAACCAAAATGCGTTCGTTACCGATGTTTCTACGTATGGCCGAGGAGCTGACCAGGTTGCCGCGTGTGTCGCCGTTCCAGGCCTTCTTCCACGAGCCGCAGATGTGGACCGGCTTGACTGTGCCTCGCAATTGGCAGCAGATAGCGCGCACACAGGAGCAGCAGTTTACACCGGCTGCCACCATTGGCAAAAACGGCTACCAGGTGTCTCTGGACGTCAGCGAATTCAAGCCCAACGAACTGACAGTGAAGACGGTCAACAACAGCGTCGTCATCGAGGGAAAGTCTGAGCAGGAGGAGGATGCACAAGGTGGCTACTATTCCCGTCACTTCCTGCGTCGCTTCACTCTGCCCGAGGGCTACGAGGCAGAGAAGACAACGTCCAGCCTGAGCAGCGATGGTGTTCTCACCATCAGTGTACCCAATCCGCCAGCTGTTGAGGCGGCGCTCCAGGAACGCATTGTGCCCATACAACAAACAGGGCCAGCGGAACTGAATGTAAAGCCAAATCCTCCACTGGATCAGCCTGCTGCGAAGGAGCAGGAGAAGAAGGAGCAGTGAATCCTATACTATAGATATCCTAGTCCCGTAATAGCTGTAGAATTAGCATTTACATAAAAAAAGTACACAATAAACATAAACAAATCAAATACACTTTCGTTTTATTACGCTTGGCAGCAGCCACATGCACTCGGCGACCCTTCAACGCCTGCCCTGCCCCTTGGCTCGACGGCCGGTTCCTTGATGACGTCCACTTGACTCGCGTCCAACATTATTGCATTTCGCAGTTGCCGTTAGACACGCTTGTGTCTTGTTTGTTGGCCTTCGCGCATCGGGCAAATGATTCATCAGCCATCCGCATCCGGCGCTGCCATCGCACGAGGCCACTTGGTCGTTGTTCGTTGTCGTCGTCTTCTCAGTCTTCGTAGCCCCTGGGGCAGGCTATAAAAGCGCCGACAGCGCCATCAACAAATTTTATAAGCACTCGAGACGAGAAACCTATTAGAAATGACTTTGGTGCCGACCACGTATCGCGATCTGTCCCGGGAATTGGATCGACCGCGTCCACTCTACCAGCCATATGACTTCCAGCTGTACCCCTACCTATGGGACGATCCGCGCATCTGGTGGCCCACCAACAGCAGCAGCAGCGACTACTTGCGCCCTTTGGATGAGCTGGTGAGCAGGCGAGTGCGCAACCAGCTAATACAATCGACGCCCTACGACTGGTCATATCCCATGCGCTGGGACAACTATTACTCCGGCGAGCGGGTGCATGCGGATGAGAAGGGCTTTCGCATTGACATCGACGTGCGCCAGTTCCGACCGCATGAGATTGTGGTGAAGACCAACGATGACTACATCATTGTCGAAGGCAACCACAACAAGCGCAGCGAGGGCGCCAATGGCTACGTGGAGCGACACTTTGTGCGCAAGTATCTGCTTCCGCGTGGCTACAATGCCAACGAAGTCATCTCCGATATCTCCTCGGATGGCATTCTCACCATCAAGGCGCCGCCGCCGCCACCATCCAAATACTATACGCCCAGCGAACGGCTTGTCCGCGTTCATGAAACAGGAAAACTAGCGCTGCCCTGGAAGTAGCTGCGCCCCCTCTTTAGCTGCTGCTGACATCTTTATAGCCTCTCTCGCATCATTGGGAAATATTCAAATTCAAGGTGAACTATTTATGACCACCGTGTTGCATCGAGAATTCTAATTTTATTTTAAATGCACAAATACAGAAAAAACGCTTGATGCAATCTTAAATGCGCAATAAATTGAATTTTATGTCAATGGAATAAATCAGTTATAAAACACAACACATCTAGGGTTACCAGCGCTGTCATTTTTAGGGATTTTCTTGCTGTTTTGGTTCTTCTTTGTGGATTTTGCCAGAAGCAAAAGCAAACTGAAGTTACCCAACACGAAAATTTTAATAATGCGTTTTGCAGTAATTTTTTAACGACATAAACTTTATTGAATCCCAGCTAAACTAATACGAAAACTAAACATAAATAAAACTAAAAAATTTAATTTTAAATGTTTTTATATTTTTCGCCTTCCGGAACTATTCCGAAAAACAATGTTTTTTTTTTTAGTTATTTTAGATTATAATTACTAGTCTTCTGTTCATTAACATATATGATCTAATAAATACATTAGGTTTTTGGTGAGGAATGAGGAATGATGACACAGGTTGTGAGGCTGTTCTAGCTTCTAGCTTCCAGATTCTATTTGCCATTGCTGGCATTCTTCTCCTTCTTGTCCTTCTCGCTCTCCTTCGACTCGTCCTCGTTGCGCTTGACGTTCAGGTGAGCCGGACCCACTTGCTGAATTTGAATCACACGCTCCTTGGACTTGTCCTCGATGGGCTGTGGCTTTGGTACACTCACAGTAAGTACGCCATCAGACGATAGCGACGATACGACCTTATCTCCGTCGTAGCCCTTGGGTAGAGCATAGCGGCGCACGAAATGGCGTGAGATGTAGCCATGGTCGTCTTCGCGTTCCTCGTGCTTGCCCTCGACAACAACGCAATTGTCCACTACTTTGACGCTCAGCTCGCTGGGAGTGAACTGAGTGACATCCATGCACACCTGGAATCCGTCCTTGCCCACTTGCGAGAGTGGCCAGTGCCAGCCATCTCCAGATCCATTTGTGGACTTGGCCAAGTCACGCCTGCGACGGCCGGCCAAAATCTCTCCCACCGTCGACGCGGGATAGTCTGGGAAACTCCAGGGAGTCAATAGCAGCTGACGAGTGGTTTTAGGTTGCAGCTGAATTGGATGAATTCCCAATCCGTAATCGTAGAGGGGAGTGCGAGGCTCCTGCAGCTCGTTCATCAAAGAAATAAGTTGAGATAGCGACATTTTGCTTTTTATTTCTTTTTCTTTCACGTAAACCACTTTTCTAAAAAACTGAAGTAGTTTCAGACGTTTGCTTTTTTTTTTAAGCGCTGTGAATATCTTCACTTGATGATTGATATTTTTCAACTGAAGCAATGAACTCAGCCAGCGGCCTTTTATAGCCGGCTGAGTGGTTTTCTAGAAGCATCGAGCTTTTACGAGTTGAGTGCGAATCGGAGAAACAGAGCGAGAAACATCGCGTGCTTGCTAGAGTGTTCGTGTGTGTCACAAAAAAAGAGAATCGAATATACGAGAGAATGCGTGTTAATATTGTGTGTGTGAGAGCGGGAGAAAATGTCAGACGGTGCAAAAAGTCAAACTAAATAACAAAAGCAATTAAAACAGGCAACTTCGGAAGCTCATTCCAAACTCCTTTTTTTTTTTTTTTTTTTTTTTTTTTTTAAAAAGCCTTTTATTTATGTAATATATGTTTATATTTACATACAGACATGCATACATACATATGTACATCCATATGTGCATATGTATATGCACACGTCTGATTATGTACATATACGACTACATACATACATACATACATAGATACATATACGGATGTATGAGTGTACGTACATACATACAAACATAATATGTATGTACATACATACATATGCCTACGATTTTATTTTTATATTTTCAAATTGCATTTATTGGGAAACCTAGAAATTGCATTCAAAATATATTTGTAGGGCTGTATGTACATACCAAAAATAATACACACATACACACATATGTACGATTGGGTGTACTTTCGAGAAACTAAATCATCGTACATACGCAAAAATGTGCCTATGTACAATACATACTTATGCAAATATACATACACATGCGCATATGTAAGTATTCATATGCATACCTATGTATGTATGTATTAATATGCATGTTCCTAAGAACACATGCATACATATTTACGCGCACACGCACTATGCACGACAAAGCACCGAAGAATACAAGGTACACATACATTCATCTCGACATGTATGTATTGCATATGCTCATATTTGTCACTACTATAAGTATTCCCTCAACAATTGTATTCCCAATTTTCAAGAAAAGTTAAGCCAAATTTAATTTTAAATTAATTTTATTTGTTTCTCACAGTAAACATAAATGCAAATACATAAGGGTCGAGTGTTGCCGCTGCTCTTTTAAATGGCATGAAATTAGATTTACATGAATGGATGAAAATACGAATTACATTACATGTACATAGCTAACAAAATGGAATTTTTACATTTCGATACCTTATAGCTAAATGTGACGTAGTTTGTGATGTTTATGTGTATGTGTGTGTGTGTATGGGTATGATTTTAGTCTTGCACTCTCAGAACAGTGTGGCAACACTCAGTTTTCGACCAAGCTTCTCCTTCGAAGTTCACCTATTTGCCTGTCTCCATTTTCTCGCTACCATTTTCGCTCTTCCCTTTGCCATCAGCGCTCTCTGGTGCCTTGACGCTGAGATGTGCAGGGCCTGTTTGTTGGATTTGAACAATTCGTTCTTTTTTGGCCTCCTTGCTGGGCGGTGGAGGCGCCTTTAGAGTCAGCACACCATCCGAGGAAACAGTGGAGACCACATCGTTGCCATCATAGTCCTTGGGCAAGGTATACTTGCGCACAAAGTGGCGCTGGATCAAGCCGTGTCCATCCTCACGCTCTTCGTGCTTTCCCTCGACGATAATGGTCTTGTCCTGCACCTTAACAGACAGCTCGCTCGGCTTAAACTGTGCCACATCCATGCACACTTGGAAGCCATCTTTGCCAACAGTGGGCAGCAGTGAATTCTGCCCAACGGAGGCTCGACGACGTGCGGGCAACAACTGATGGCTTCTCTCGTAGGGTGAAAAGTGAGAGCGGCGACGATGCAAGTGATGGGGTATCACCAGACGTGGACGGTGGAATAACTCGTTCACATGCAGTCCAAAGCCAAAGTCATCGTCCAAGAAGTGGTCCCAGTCGCTGTAGGCGCTATCTAAATCGCGAGCCAGACTCAAGAGTGGAACAATTGACATTTTTACTCTTTCACTTTTTTTTGCTTGGTAAATAATCGAAACTTTGTCTTTTTTTATTGCTTCTGCGTAGCAGACGTGTTTTAAACGACGGTTTGAATAGAATTGAAGAGGCGCAAGGAACGCAGCGGGTTTTTATACCGACGCCAAACTGACTCACACACACAGAGAAAACATATTGGTGATTGTTCTCGTTCGCTCTTGAATTTACTCGCTCTTTCTGTCGGCAAGTAAATATGTACGTATGTGTGTGTATGTGTGTGCCAGCCGGCATTTTATTTTGTTTGCTCTCTTTGCCACAAATAAAAATCTACCAGTTTCTTGAAATTTCTGTGCGTGGTAAATTTGTAAATAATACATACATATGTATGTATGTGTGTAAATACATACTACGTACATGCATGTGCCTATACAAATACTATATGTATGTATGCATGTACTATGTGCATATACGATATTTTAAGTATTTCTTTATTTAAACCGCCTGCATTTTAAAATTCGTATGGCATTTTGCTAAAATGTTAAAGTATATTTAGGGGACCACTGGCAGAAAAACGCATCCACTCAGACGTCAACTTTGCCATTTTGCAAGTACAATGAACTTGCAGTCTCTGTTTGCCGAGACCGGTTTGTTTGTCATTCTTTATCCTCGTTTTCTTTTCTCTGCATTGCAATCATGTATATACACACATACATACATATGTAATATACTCGTGCATGTAGATGTATCTGTGTGTAAATGTAAATTCTCTTTTGAGTAAGTTGCACATGCATTTAAGGGAAATTTGCAAGCTTTTAAGTCAAGCAACTAAATGTAGCATAATGCTACTGGTTAAGCTTTTCATGCACAGATATGTATGTACATACATATGTATGTATACGAATGGAGTTGAGAGTAGTGGTGTCGAAAAGTTCCCTGAAAAATTCGGATATTTCTCCCAAATAAAATTTCTCGAACAATTCTCACGTACACACTAATGTACACACAGATGTATGTATGTATAAATTGTATACGTGCTGTGTACGATTGCTTTTTGCGTCCATATGTATAAACGTATTTATCATGTTTCGTCATTCCCTACATAGATATATCGATGCACACATGGAGACTGTTATGTACATCTGCTGCTACCCATAATGAAAACTCGTCGAATTACAGTAATTAAATTTTTTTTTTATTTCGAATATAAGTTATATATAAGGCTTAGGTAAAGGAAACATATAGTACATACACACTTACGTATGCATGCATATATATGGCTATGTGCTAATAGGTTAAATACATAAATATCAAACAAATTATTGACTTCCATAATTGATTATAATAATAATGTGTGTGATCTACACACTAAAAATGAGTTAACTTATGAGATGCTCAGTTCATTTCTCGGCTTTGGCTTCTTGCTCTGGCTGCTCCTTGGCGTTCTCCTTCACGTTGAGATGGGCAGGTCCCACCTGCTGGATCTGGACAACACGAGGATTGCTCTTATCTTCGATGGCCGCTGGCTTCGGCACGCTGACAGTGAGCACACCGTCAGAGGATAAGGTTGAAGTTACTTTGTCGGCTTCATAGCCATCGGGCAGAGCGTAGCGGCGCACAAAGTGACGAGTGATGAAGCCATGATCGTCCTCTCTCTCCTCATGCTTGCCTTCGACGATGACTGAGTTGTCCACAACTTTGACGTTTAGTTCGCTGGGCTTGAACTGTGCGACGTCCATGCACACCTGGAAACCATCCTTGCCAATCTTCGATACTGGACCAATGCTACCCACTTGTTTCTCCAACTGGCGCAGCTGCTGGTCAAGAGGAACTGCAGCCAATGCCAGGAGCGGATTACGGTTTTGGCGCTGCCAGTAGTAAGGAGTGTCGTAGAATGGCACCATCGACAGACGGTTGAGATCGTCAGCCAAGCTCAACAGAAGTGGAAGATTTGCCATGTTTTCTCTTTTTTCAACAATACTTTATAACTTTTTCAGAAAAAATTTTTTGTGCTTTTGTTCCTTGGCGTTCCTTGCAGGAAGGCTTTGTGTTGACTTTTTGTTTGTTGCTTGTTGCTTTGCTTTTTCGAAGTAAACTGATGACGGGAACGAAATGCGTCGCGTATTTATAGCTGCCCGGTGGTGACTCTCGATTACGCGCGCGCTTGTGCGTGCGAGAGAGATAGCAGAGCTGGGCACGCCAAGGAAACTTCTGGCTCTGGCTAAAGTTGAATAATTTTGCCGATGTTCTGGAAAGCGCTCGAATGTGTGTATGTACGTGATGCTTGTAGATATGTATATACAAGAATACATACATTTATATGTAAGTAAGTATATAAAATTTATATTCATTTGCAGCATTATCTAGCAACGAAAGTGAGAGTGTTTCGCTGAGATAGCAACAGCAGCAGTTAAAGAGCGAGAAAAGTGATAACAGAGAGAATAAACAAACAAAAACATTGCAGATAGAAGAATGTTCTGTAACTTTCCAGATAATGTACATATGTACATATCTAGAAAATTTGTTAATTTATAGCTATAGACATTTTCATTTGCTCTTTTAAATTTATTTATTAATATTTCACTGACTTTATTTTCATTTGTTAACAGCGGAATTTATTAATGGCAATTTTGCCATACTCAACGTATGTATGTATGTTTGTATGTACGTAAATGTATGTACATATAGGTACTAAATGCAGATATGTATGTACATACATAAATATGTACATAGTAATGTTTTGATGTGATTCAATAAAGAATATAGTATGAAAACGCGAAAAATTAAAGATGACAAAGCGAAAAGTAACATTTTTTTTTCTTTTTCTTTTTGTTTCTCTACGTTGGCATACACACATGTACATATGTATGTATATATACTTTGGAAACATGTAAGTATGTACATATGTATTATGTCTAGATGTACATACAATGCTCTGCAACTGTGTATATACATAGATAATTATGTAAATACTTTTTCTAAAATATCGGATAAGACAGTAAATAATAATAAATAATAATAATAGTAAATAATAATATCAAATAATATATTTTATATACAGATAACCATATGTACAAGCATACACACATAAATACATAGTATGTATGTATAAATATACATATGTATATGTAGATACATATGTACATATGTACTTTACGCTTACAAAATATTCAATCAGCCTATGAATTTTCATGACAACGACAGCTCCGAATATATACAATTGCACATATGTATGTACATATAAAGTACGAGCATATATATATATGTATGTACATATGTATTCATTAATGGATAGCTCCAGCTTCGTTGCCAGCCCCTTATTTTGTTTGTCGTTTTCACTATTGCACAAGTCTCCAAACTAGTGTCTGGCTCTTGTCTAGAAATTGCTTGTATGTGTAACAAATTTTACACACAACACGTACATATACGTATGTTTTATGCATTGTATTGGTGTGAGTACATCAGCATTTGTTGCTGCATACAATTGCAATCTATAATATATATGAATATTTGTATATACATAGCTTCGCCAAGGGGCAATGCGCATGCTTTGCGCCTGCCCCACTGCCGGCTGTTGCCCCCCTTCGACTTAATTCCATTATCAACAAATTTTCAGTTGCCGGTTGGCCTTCCAGACCACAAACACAAATGCACACGCCGGTGATGTGTCTGTGTGAGTGAGTGGAGAGACGCAAAAACCAGCTGTTGTTGTAGTTGCTATAATCGCGCCGGTTCGGCAACCGGCCTGTGGCACGATACGTTTTTGCGGCCTCTCAGCTGTTTAGCTGTTTGCCGGCTGAGCGCAGGGAATTCAGCTGCAACATGGCTACTTTACATGCTCGTGTCTTCATTTATATGCATACATACATACATATGTAGTAAGTAAATGGAAGTGTATTTGTGGACAAACGTTCATATATGTGTATGTGTTCGTATGTATGCATAAATAGTATTCATATGTATGTACATATATTGCTGTGGTAACTCATGCCCAGAGCCGAGGCGTAGGTCGAGAGGCTGTAGCCGGTTTTCAAGTTGTGCCGGCTTGTGTGTTTCTCCATCGTTTGCGGCCTGGAATACTTTCTTTGTTCTCGCAACCGGAAAATTGCCAACTTCGTATTGCGAAAAAGTAGAGACATCGAAACATACATACATACATAGTACATCTGAGTGTCTATATACATACATATGTAGATGTGTGTGCGTCTCTTGCCGATAAGCAATACTTTTGGATCTTATTTCGAGGGGTGTTGTCGCCAGGTTTAGTTCTATTGATTTTTTGCCAAAACTGTGCAAATAAACAAAGATTGCACATGGGAAACGTTGGCCCAGCCTCACTTTGCATAAGCCGACGACGATGACGACGTCGACGTTTACGCCGACACCACAACTCGGCGACGGCAACAACGACGATGTTGGATACGAGCCGGCATTCGTAGTCGCTGCTGCAGCACGCTTCCAGGCCAGACATTTGCTTTCCATTCAGCGCTGCACAGCCGTTTAAAAGGTTGAACATTCAGCCATAAGAGCTCAAACGCAATCCAGTTAGAAGCCGGAACGGATCGCACGCGGAACGGTAGCAGCAGATAGCAGATAGGACATATTTAGTGCTCTAGTGCCCAGTGCCAAGTGCCCATTGCCAAGTGCCAATTGTCAGTGTCATCAGATCCCAGCCAGAGGCAGAGACAATTACAAGCCAAGTGACTCTAAATCCCCCAGTGAATTAATTTGGAAAATGTCGCTAATACCGTTTATACTCGACCTGGCCGAGGAGCTGCACGACTTTAATTTTAATCGCAGCGCCAGCCTCGGTCTGGGCCTCGGCATGGGCATGGACATAGACGACGGCTTCGGTATGTATCCGCTGGAGCAGCTGGCCGCCGCATCGGCTTCCACACAGTCGCTCCCGCAGTTGTCGCCTTCAAACAGCACGCGTCGTGGCACACGTCTCGCCCACTCGCACGGCCACGCCCACTCTCCGACAGCCACCAGTGGGGTTTTGTGGGTGCCTATCAAGGGTGGGGGACAGGTACAGGCTCAGCATCGCCATCATCCCTACAGCCGTGTGGCCGGCGCCAAGACTGTCTGCTGCAATAAGTCGCTGCTCGAGTTGGAGAAGGAGCTGGGCGACAAGGTCAACTCCTCGTTGGCAACTGCTACGAGCAACTCGTCGGCAAGTGCCAGCAAATCGGCATCGGCCTATTCGGTGGTCAATCGCAACGGCTTCCAGGTGAGCATGAATGTGAAGCAGTTCGCATCGGACGAGCTCACCGTGAAGACCATCGACAATTGCATCGTAGTCGAGGGGCAGCACGACGAGAAGGAGGATGGCCACGGTGTCATCTCGCGTCATTTTATACGAAAATACATGTTGCCGAAGGGCTTTGATCCGGCCGATGTCCACTCGACGCTGTCTTCGGATGGTATTCTAACTGTAAAGGCGCCACCACCGCCACCGCCGCCCGCATCCAAAGCGGGCGAGGAGCGACCCATTGAGCGCATCGTCGATATTCAGCAGCAGCCGCAGCAGCAGTCGGCTGCAGTACCGCTACCCATGATGGCGCAGACGAAGGATGCGCAGTTGCCAATTGGAAAAAGTGCAGCCAACGACGTAGAGCAGCCAACCCTAAAAACAGCTGCAGCAGCAGCAGCAACAACACCAGCAGTCGCTTCCAGCGGCGAGCAGAAGAGCGCTGAAGAGCGCAATGGCAATGGAGAGGCAGACGTCGACGTCGACGTCAACGCCGACGTTGACGCTGCCGGCGACGTCAATGCCAACACAAGCGTAGCTAAAACTGCTGATGAAACTGCAAATGCAAAAACAAAAGAAAAAGAGAAAGAGACTGAGCCCGTTGTCCAAACTTCCACTACCAATTCCAATTCCAACTCAATTTCTATTTCCAATTCCAATGGCGACAATGGTGAACCGCAGCCAACTCCAGAGTCAAAGTCAATGGAAGTGGACGAAACTTCTGAAACTGACAATGTGGCCACTGCCGTCGTTGCCTCCACAGTTGCAGTAGCAGCCGCTGCCTCTGCCGAAAAGGAGGACTCCACCGACGCCGACGCCGTCAGTAGCAGTGGCACAGCCTCGGCAGAGGCCGACGGCACGAAAACCGAAGATGCCAATGCAAATGGCAATTCGTCCAGCTCCGATTCGAACTCGAAAGCCGAAAAGGCTGCCGTCGAAGAGGATGCCGAGGACGACACTATGCCGGCTGCCAAAAAAGCCAAAATCGAAGTCGAGGAGCAGTCTTCAGAGGCAGTAGAGAAAGTTGAAAAGGCCACCAAGGGCGCGGAGGAGATCGCTGCTGAAGATGCGGCTATTCTACTGGCCAAGAAGCAGGCAAGCGAGAACGGCGCAGCTGCCGGTAAGGACGCAGAGGAGCCAACCCTGGCAGCGGCTAAGTGAATGTAGAGACTGATAATTGATGCGCAACGCAGAACTATAAAAGAACTAAAAAAAGAAAAACAAAATATAATAACGATAAATAATGATAAACAAATATCAAATTGGAATGCGTTTTAATCTATAAATGTTTTATGTGTTTTTTCAATAATTCGCAATAAATACATGAGATAGGGCATGCAGGTGGACGAAATGCAAAAGGAGAAAGAGATGAGAAACTATGATATGAAATTATGATTTCCTAAACAAGTGTGAAACAATTACGACTACAAGTATTCAGTAAAACTAAGCACATTATGTACTTAAAACTTACAAGTAAATAAAGATTCAAAGAGTGCGTTTTGTGTTTTGTCTTTTCACTTGCTTTTCTTTACTCATTGCTGTTGTTTTCCAGTCTATGATTCTCTTCTCTTCACACAGGCATACTCTTTCTAGTTACGCTCGCTCAGTGGAGAGCATACTCTTTACAGCTATGCGATGTTTTTTCATCTTTCTCACTATGCTCTAGCAATTGAGCGATGTTTTCAGAAGAGCACGATTGCCGGCTATAAAAGCAGCAGCCGACAGGCTGCGATGTTACAGTTGAACAACAGTATTAGTCAAAGTGAAGTTTCGCTGAGCGAAAGAAAAGTTAAAAAAGCGCCAAAATCAATCGTCATTGCGAAATCTGCATAACCTTAAATCTAATATCGCGCTAAAAAAAAGTTAAATTGAAAATGTCGCTGTCCCATTTAATTACATTGGTTGATGCTCTGAACGAGCCTCGCAATCCCGTCTACGATTTTGGTATGGGTATGAATCCACTTCAGTTCCAAACCAGGGGCATGAACTCTTCGCTGCTGAGTCCATGGCAGTGCCCACATCCCGAGTGCCCAACCTCGCCAGTCGGAAAGATTTTGGCCAATCGCCGCGGACGTGGCGACATGACAAAACTAGCGAATGGTGAGCTCGATGCTTGGAGCATGCCCATTGCACAGGTGGGCAAAGATGGCTACCAGGTGTGCATGGATGTCAGCCAGTTCACGCCCAGAGAGCTGAACGTGAAGGTGGCCGACAACTGGATCACGGTGGAGGGCAAGCACGAAGAGCGTGAGGACGGCCATGGCTACATCTCGCGCCATTTTGTGCGCCGTTATGCTCTGCCCAAGGGCTACGACGGAGATAAGGTCATCTCCTCTCTGTCATCCGATGGCATTCTCTCCGTTAGTGTTCCTAAGCCGCAGCCCAATGAGGACAAGACCAAGGAGCGCGTGGTTCAAATTCAGCAAGTGGGCCCAGCTCATCTGAACATCAAGCGAAACGAGGAAGAGTCCAAGCCGAAGACCCCCACCAATGGAAACAACACCAAATAGAAAGCCAGCGATCAACGTTAAACCAAAGTCAACCTCATTTCTCATCATATTTCATGTATTGCATGTATTTATTAAAAAGTCATATTTATTGTAATGAGCAAAAGACTAATATGTTAAAAAGTGAAAAATAAAATGTTTGTAAAACTAATAACCAAATTTCGTGTAATTTTTTCATCCGCCATTTTTCTTTTCATGTTCCTTTCTTCTGACTATCCCAATTTAGTTCGCTCCTTTTAGTTCCACCCGCCATTAAGTTCACGTGATTCTCTTTGGAATAGCTTTCTCTTTTTATTCGTTTTGCATATATATTTATTTAAATAATGTAATGCATAATAAAAAATGTCGCGATCATAAGTATGCACACAGTATATATGTATATTATGCTAATTCTATATATCTAAATCGGCTTCAATTTCAATTACATTTTTCAATTTTATCGCAAGCTGAGGATTTACATAGAGAGCCGCTGAAGCTGCACGGAGAAGCTCCCAGGCATTGGGGCTTTTGCACTTTTAATCATCAAAATGCCATTTTAAATATAGTTAAAAACTACATACATATGTGTATATATATATTTATGCATTGTTATTGGTTGTGTTGTTGCTGCTGTTAATATTATTATTATTATTAGTTTTAATTTAATGTATGTATGTTAGGTTATGTGGTTTTATGTGTATATATTCAATGACGCTTAATCACAGATCAATTTTTAAAATTTTCATTTGACTTAGAAGTTAAGAAACAAAATACAAAATGTCACAAGTTCACGTCTACAGTTGCATGTATGTCATTATATATTTTAGTACATATATGTATATATATATGAGCTACACATAAAAAATGGATTTGGCTTGATCAGCAGGTGGAGGAAAAAGGACAGTGGCAGGGACCGGTGCCGGGGTAGTAGGATGGGCTGACATCCAGCGCTAGCTATGAAAATGGGCAAATTGTATTTCTGCATGAATCGCAGCGATTTAGTCGATTTGTATATCTATCTATAAGTTGTATGTTTGTTCATTTGTTCAGTGCCTGTCTATAAAGTACTATATTCCTATATAGATACTGTTTCCCCTCTTTTTATCAAATGAAACGTATTTCTCTTGTTTGTTCTAAACGTATGTGTTTTTCATGTTGTTATTATGTTTGCAGTCTCAAAATTGTTTATGGGCTTTGTGTATATGTGGTTACGAGATACGAAATTAACTTAGGAACGGTTCCAAGGATGGGATAGGTCAAAGAACAAAGATATAAACAACGAAAATATATGAATGTGTGGGTCTGTTTGTCTGAACACTTTAAATATGTTAAGAAAATTAGAGGACAATCACTTTTTGATGAGACTTTCACAGCTGCTGCTGAGATTTGGCAACGACTTGAAGAACAATCGGGAACGATCTATTTGCGCCTCCCCCGACGAACGATTCGAGCACTTGCTGCCCTTATTCGTCTCATCCACGCCCTTGTCAAAAGAGCGACGAAGCACCAGGTGCTGCTGCTGCTGCTGGTGTTGGTGTCCGGCGTAGGCAGCTGGTGGCGAGAGCTGTGAGGCTGGCAGCTCTATATCCAAGACGGTGTCGTTGCCACCGGCATTCTTGCAGCGCAGCATCGCTTCCTGTTCCATGTCCAGCTTGGTGTCCGAATAGCGACGCACGTCCGCCTCCCTGCCAAGTCGACAGTCAGCAGCAGTGGCACAACAGCTGAGTCCCGCCTGCTCCCCCTCGCCCAATATGCTCGAGTGGCGATAATCGATCTTTGGTGGTGTACTGTAATCGTAGGCGAGCGGCGTGCCCACACCCACACACATGGGCGAGTCATTGAGTATATCACGATTCTCCAGAAAAATGGACGAGTTGGAGTAGCGCTTCGACTGGTGCGGCTTATAGACAAAGCCGCCTAAGCCATTGGCCACAGCATGCGAGACACCGGAGCTAATCGATGGCGCCTTGTGCTCACCACTGCCTGTAAATAAGAGAACGGGATTAGCGTGTGGATTAGCAAGAGGAACTATCTATCGACTGACCACTAAAGCTGCTTAGCTGCATCGCGTGCTCACGGCCCGTGTCTGTGGATATGCCGCTAGCACTGAGATCTTGGCGTGAGCCGGCGCATAGATCTGTGGCCGACCCGCGACTGGAGCTCTCCGAGTGCTCCAGCACATTGTGTATCGAGTCATGGAACGGCGTCATACTGCCCGAGCCCTGCGGACAGGGCCGAAACGAGGAGATCTGCGAGACGACATCATCCAGCGCCCAGTCGCGATCGTAGTTGTGCTGCGACTGCGAGCACTCAATGTTGGCTGCCACAGCCACCTGGCCCAGCTGCTGACCAAGCTGTTGGCCATGCAGATGCTGCTGTTGCTGCAGATGTTGTGCGTGTGCGTCCTCCGTCTGAGTGCCCGCGCTGCTGCTGCTGTGCGCCACTGCGTCCATGTGTTGCGGCGAGGCGTTCAACAGACGCTGCTGCAGCTGCAACTGCATCTGTTGCTGGTGCTGATGCAGACCCGTTGAGCCGCCGTTCTCCATGGGGCCACAGCTCGAGTCGTGCACTGAGTGACCTGCTCCACCCGACGCATTGATCTCCACGGTTCCATTGATGGCACCACGGCCATGCATCGAGCTGTGCCGCTCGTTGAACTGATGGTGGGCAGCCACAGGTGACGGCGGCGCCAATGGATGAATCTTTTCCGGTGCGTTCTGAATGAGCAGAATCCTATAAGATTAAGAACTATTAGAAAATGTGCAGAAATTGCTTAAGGATATAATCGGATCTGATAGAGATATACTGAACTAGACATTTGCTTACTGGTCATTCATTTCAAGTCTCTACCTTATGTGATTTTCAGAATTAACTTGTTTATACAGACGGACTGCTAAACTAAGCTAGCGCTACTCAATTTATCAAAAATATGTATTATAAGTGAGGACTGGGAAGTTTTCTTCTCTTACTAATACAATTATACTGCTACTACTGTACCAAGTCTATTATTTCTATTCCGTCTATTACAACTATTCCTTCTACTATTCCTACTACTACATTTCCTAATACTATCTTTACTACTATTCCTACTACATATACTACTACTACTCTGCGACTGCATATACTCTGCGACTGCCTCTATTATTTTACTCTTACTATTACTAAGACTACCTCTATTACTACTACTATTATTTCTACTGTGACTGCTACTACTACAACTATTAAGGACAGCTTCTACCAGTGCTATAACTACTAATCCTTCATATAAAAAGTAAGTAACATTGCGAGCTGCATTTATAGCACTTATATAGAATAATTTCAGCGCCCAATGTAATCAATATGTTTTCTTTTCGATAGATACTATATGGCCTATGGATAACGCAACAGCTGGATTCATCATAGTTTTCACAATTGTGCAATATTTTTTATAGCTGTTGGGAAACAGATGTTGGAAATTACTTTAGGTACTTCTCGATATTTCCCCGGCTAGTTTTGTATTTAAAACCAAAACTCAACAATTGGCTCGTTAGTTTTGATTTGGCATTTAAATTGAAATGAAGCTCTACCCGTTGCTGATATGTGTCGCACTATTTGTGGCCAACATTGAGGGCTATGTCAAAAAGACGCCCAAATGTGTCGGGCAACCAAGTAAGTGATTAAATGAATCTAATAGATCGATTAACTAACTAATGAAGCGCCTCAGTTAAAGACGTTTGCAACCTGCGCAGAGATCTGGGTCACAATAAGTACTTGTGGTGCAAAGAGCATGCCATGTCTGAAATGTGGTACTACAATATGATCCACAACACCTGCAATAAGATGATCTATATGGGCTGCGGAGGCAACTTTAATCGCTTTTGCTCTGAGGCCGACTGTGCTAAAAAGTGCATAACAACAAAGAAACATGGGTAAATCTTTCGGAAATTACAAATTTAAAAGTTAACTATTGGCAAACCCTAAGGTAAACTCTTCATCTATCCTACTAAGGCCTATTTTTGTTTAAGATGATTGTCAAATTGGTATACAAGAAATAATTGAAATATAAATACTATATAGAGATTCGATATACTATACTATAAATTTATGAATATATTAGAATCGATAAATGGTAATAAATGTTTCTTTAATTTACTTGTTGAGTTACTTTCCACTATAGCAGAGATGATCTTAATATATATCTGATAGACAACTATAGCAGAGATGATCTTAATATAGATTTGAGAGACAGCGTGCTATATACAGATGCTGATAATTCTTACAAATTTGTATACAAATTTACATATGGCTATTACAATAATTCTGTCTAATATAAATTAATAGCTGGACAACTAATCCTATTTAGAAATATATTACTAGAGCCGTCTATATGCAATGATTATCTATCAAAGTCTCGAGTTATCTTCCTTTGGCTGGTCTACTCGCCTGTTGAGTGCTTTCCAGCGATGGCAGAGATGCAGATAGGCCTTACACTGAATGTACATGAAGACAATGCCGCCAGTGAGACCGACGGTAACAACAGCGAGCTTTGTCCAGAACGGCCAATCTGTGTGTGGTTAAAAAAATACAGTTCAGTTTAATCATAGCCATTACATATGTATAGAGAGGGCAAGTTAATGGGGTATACAAACCAATCACTCCACGCTTTACATCATCTGCGGCCCGCTCGATGAGCACACACAGCGACCAAATGACGCACAACGCGGCCGCTGAGTGGAAGAGCACCGAACAGCAGAGCCGGCGCTTCTCAATGCTAGAGATGTCAAGGCTGCGCCACTGTCAGCCGCAATGCAATCGATGGCCCGGCACAGTGCGGCAGATAGAGAGGGAGCGAAAGGAAGCCAAACAATGCGCAAAAGAAAAAAAATCAAACAAAAACAAAAACAATGCGAAATAAATTAGTTTGAGTAATAGAGATGGAGAAATGTCAGCTGCTGCTGCCACTTACCTCATTGAAGGGCTTTATTTTGGTGTGCATGATGAAGGGGAACTTGCATAGCTCGCAGGAGTTGGTCGCCGATGCCGTCAGCCACTGTTGCAGGCACGCCTGGTGCACATACTTCAAGCTGCCGGAGCAGTAGCAGGGCGTCAGCAGCGGATTCTGTGGATCGCTCTCGCAGTGGCAGATGCGGCATATATCGCCGCTGTTCTGTGACGCTTGGCTGCTGCCCGAGCCGAATCTGCAATAAATTGTGAGCTCCATTATAAGTTGACCTTTAAATGTAAAGTGCGTATGTCCGTATTTATGTATGTTTCCCCGGGTCGTGACCTTCAACGGAGAGCTTAAACCGATTATTCGTTGTGAAATGGGCAGCCATTTGTTGCCCCATTTGATTGGCAGCTAAAAGAAAACCAGCCCCAAGCGCTCAATCTACACGGCTTATTCCCCAGCCGTTGTCCGCCCACTTTTACAAAGCAGACGGATTTGGGGTCAGGTCAGGGCGCTGGACCGAGCCTGGACGGCTTTGTTCTTTCATTATATCCAAATAAATATAGGCTTATATGTGGGCAATTTTATAGTCTTGTGATTACAGCTAAAAAGTGGACGCAACTCCCTATAGGACACTATATAACTCAATATATATTTATTTAGCAGAGTATGTTATATACATAAGATATCGGATATTTATCAATCCACGTCTATAGCAATTGAGTTTGATTGGCATCTATAAACTAAGGGATAATGCGACTTGCGTAATTCACGTTCGATGTGGGAAAGTTAATGCATGATAAGGAAGCCAAATGAAAGATAAAATTGGAACGTGGCACAGTCGATCGATTTATATATGTACATATATATGTATATATAAACGTCATTTATTTTCAGTCAAACGATTTATGTACTTTTATATGTCATAATTTTTTTTTTTTTTTTTGCACTGTAATAAATTGATTATTTTATTGTTCTTGTTTTCACTCGTTGCTTTCTCTTTCTTCTCCCCTTCTTGCGCTGAATATTTAATATATAATAGTGAAATTAATTAATATTTTTATTAGTTTCAATTTGATGTCGCTTTATTTTTCGATTTTTCTCTGTAGTTTTTTCTCCATCATTTTGCAATTATTTGTAATTATTGCGATAGCCTCTGCTTATTGCCTATACAAAAACAAAACAATACTAATTATATTATATAATTTGTGTATCTACTACTTACTATCTACATACATAGGTCGCACTGATCTGCTATTTACATATTCTGTTTTCTAGTCGAGCTCGCGCCTTTGTTAATAAACAATTTCGAAATCAATTTGCGTACAACTTAGACCCAAAGTGTCTTTGGGTAAATAGAGGTATTTAATTTGGTTAGTGCATTGCATTTTCTATGGCAAACTGATACAATCATATAATGATATTTATTTGCTCCTACTAGATACATATATATGTACGTATGTATATGTCTGCGATTTAAGTGCTTGCTGCTTAGAGTGAGGCTTGCAAATAGAAGAGAAACGCAGTTCTATTAGATTACTTACATACATACATACATGCATATACGTGTGTGTATATATGTACATGTGTGTATATTCTTTCTCTTCAATGTTCTCGACAAATGTTTAATTTCCTAGAAAGCTCTAATCAATTTATGAACGCGTGTATATATATATATATATTATATATATATATATATATATATATATATATATATGTATGTATGTATGTAAGGACTCCCACACTAATAATGCATTCATAATAAATCCTTGCTCATTAAGCACTTACTTTAATCACAATTCCAAGAACTGACTACAATTTCACAGAGGCATATAAAACGGAATGAAATTTATTTATCAGGAATCAGAGAAAGGTGATGAACACCATCTGAAATCCATATGTAACTCCCTATTTACTTGTTTTACTAAGATTTCATCTGAATAGATTTTCTATGTGTTTTTCTGTTCTTTTGTTCTAAGTTGCTTATTTCTTTTTATAGAGAATATACCATGGAATTTTATTAAACCAATTAGCTCTTTTCACATCTTTAACTGGTGTAAAAATGTTAGTTTTGATCAAAAAATCCATAATTTATACGTAATACTGTTTGTTGTTGCATATTTGATACTGATAAAGTTTTTAATCGGAAAATTGAATAAAGAGTGTGAGAACTGAGCATATTTTAATTTTAGATAAGCCTAAAACAAAACGCCAAAATCCTAAGAAGTTTTTGCCAAGTTCTGCTATTATGTGATATAATTCTGTAGAAATATACATAATTCCTAAACATATTTCTATATATATTCTATATTCCAAGCAATACTTGTAAATGTAGAAAATGCTTTATAAAACAGAAAATAACTAAAATATTTGTTGAGAATTTATTTATTGGAAATTCCCCCGTCAAGATTATCGATGTTATATTTATATATTTTTTTTTGAGGAGAGATGAACACGCTATTTCCGAATTATTACTAATCTAGCTGCGTGTTTATTTTATATTTTAGTTGTTGTTTTTATTGTTTGCTACACAAATCCGATAAGAAATACACCAAAATTATTGTACGTACATATTATATATAAATGTTTGTATATGTATATATTTATATATATCAAAACTAAGAGAAGCCTGCACTTTGTAATTAATTTCTGTTGCCTGGCGTTCCGCGATTTTCTTTGTATGTGCTTCAAATTAATAATGGGGCATATTTACATGGATTTTCATAACGAAAAGCCGATGGGCTGCATTATAATCATAAAAAATTGCTCAAATATTCAGTGTGTCATGCTTCAATCGTATATTGCCACAATTATGACAATTCAATCTGCTTTGAACTGGTCAAGTTCAGGGCAGGCGCAATTAGTTGAGCCGCATAGAGTGGACTATCATTAGGGCCGGGTTAAGCCCCCACAGTGAAGCGTCATAAACGACCAACTAACTAACTACATTTCATGTTGGCCAATTGGACAGAAAGGCGGGAGTGCCTGACTAGAATATACCCTGAAATGATTTTTATAATATTATATATATATATATATATATATATGTATATGCTTTATACATTTGAATATCACTAAATAAACTATTCAATAAATTAAATATATTTCAGATTTTACTTAGTAATAGTTCCCTTTTATACCTTTAAGTTTACTTCTTTCATATTCCATCTAGTTAGGATCAAACATTAAACTCCTTTTCGTTATTTAAGTTTGAGGGTATGAAAATTGGTTTTAGTTGAGCCACTTTTACTTTCAGCGTCCCTTCGGCCCGCCTATCGTGCCCTTGGCTGTTTGCTGTTTGTGATTTTAGAGTTCAGACAGCAAGTGCGTGATTGGGCCGAAGGACACTGCCGGACAAAGGCAGGCACAAGCGTTTGTGGTGCCGGTTGTCATCACATTTTAGCTGTTGTTATGGGCCCTGGCCAGGGTCACGTAGTGGTTGCCCAATCGGATCAATAAAACGCATTTGGACTGTGCGAAGCCCACACTCAGACGCTAGTCAGCCCTATCATAAAACCGTCTAATTTCTTAGACTGTTACGTCTCTCTCGCTCTCTCTCTCTCTATATATATATATATCTATCGGATGTACACTCAGTTCAGTAGCTGTTTATCCTTTCAGACTGTCACATTTATATGCATATCTAAGCATGATGTCTGCCAATTTTATGACTTCATTAGTTAATAGGCTCAGGAGCCAGCAGATGCCAGACGACAGACGAGAGCTGAGACTGAGAGCAGACGCCAGTCTGGCGGGATACCCAATCTTAATTTGCATACATCTTGATAATAGACTTCATCTGGAGGATGAGGCTGCGCGTCCCCACTTTGATGGGTTGACATTTTGTATTTTCGAAGACGCAGTAAACAGCCTTTGCGTAATTAGGGTAAAGTAAATAAATTGTGGTCATATCTGAAGATCAGGCTGCATAAATCAAAAACCATTCCAAATTTATCGAATCAGATCTTTAACCCCCACGCAGACTGCAAAAATATCTCTTTGTCTATTCAAAACAAAGCGCATTCATTGACCTTCTTGGCTATTTTCGTATATTCATATAATATCAATGGGCTCTATGGGATCTATATTTGGTTGCTATTAAAGCTTTGCCAGTATTTCTTCGTGGGTTCATGCAATAAAAGCTTTCGCTCTCTGCACTATTCGATTTATGAACGTATTAATGCAAAGCTCACTTTATCGCTCC